ACCCTATCCAGTGAATTTTGATGTGGTTAAAAGATATTTTGCTTGAAGAAAAAAAAAAGAAAAAGAATAAAAGGGGGTTCAAGAAGAAAATACGAAAAGGGCGTCTTGAAACCAAAAGAGATCTCAAGTTGAAAACCTGCAAAGGGCGGCTTGAGTTTTGTTTAAATTAAGAATTTGTACATGGTGGAGGTTCTAAATTGATTTTAGAAGTTTAAAGAGCTCTTGATATGGGTAATAACAATGTCAGTTGGTGATCAGGGCTGGGACTAAAGATTAATGAGTCTCGATTGAAACAACCAAGAGAGAAATTGAATGCACATAAATCAATACTGGTTTATGGCATCCAACATTTGGAGATTTGGTAATTTAGAAATAGCTTCACACCCTTACGTATCATCACAATTTTAGAGATCCTTTTGACATAAGTTACACTCGAGTCATTCTAATGGCGTGCCAGTTCAAAGGCATCTGCATTATTGATATCTGAAGATGCCTACTCTCTTGTTTATATAAATAAAAAGAGATTTTTTTTCTTGTTAAATTCCCTTTTGCAAGCATCTTTCTTTGAGAACTAAAAACATATAGCTTAACTTGAAGTACATGAGATCATTGTGTATTACTATGCAAAAAGTTTTGGAAAATGCAGGTATTCTGAAGCTGACAATGGTTTTAACATGTAAGTCTGTATGGTTATGGGAAGCTAAAACCTTGGAATACATAGAAAGTCTCAACCACTAAAAGATGACCCAAAGAGATTGTCATTAATCAAAAAGTTGGTCATGGGTACTGGTGGGCTTCAAGAAAGAAATGAGTCAATATACTATTGAACCGAAGGATATAGTATCGAGATTGTTAGTTGGGGTGAACTGATCAAATGTTCTGTGCTCAAGATGAAACCAATTTCCATTAAGATCAAAAGGAGATGGTGTTCCTTCGAAGAGGAAAATACGTTAAATTGCATAATTGCATGCATTTTAAGCATGAGTAGGATCATGGCATTCATAATTGCATGATGACTTAAATATCTACAGGTTTCCCAAAGATAGCTGAATATTGAAGATATTGAAACATAAATATATGGATAACCAGTTTTGAAATCTTATAAAGAGGGATGTTTATATGACAATTAAACCAAAGCAGAATCGCATATCTAGTAACTGCGAGACAAGAGATTGGATTTTCAAAAAATTTCTCAAATTATATACTTTTGAGTATAATATTTTCAAGCTTACATTAATGATTGGTAATGATTGATTTCAGGTTCAACCTTGAAAGAAAATCAAACTTATACCTTCATGTAAGAGTAATGAAGCAAATCATCTTAGGCCTTCACGGAAGAGTAGTAAAGCAAATCATCTTGAGTCTTCAAGGAAAAGTAGTGAAGCAAATCAAGATCAAGTCCTATACTCCCTGAAAGAAGCGGAAGCAGACACATTTTCTGAAGATTGTTCAAGTCCTATACTCCTTGAAAAAAGAAGTAGCATACCCATTTTTCGAGTCATATACTCCTTGAAAGAAGAAGGAGAGGACCCGTTTTTCAAAGATTGTTCGAGTCCTATACTCCCTGAAAGAAGAGGGAGTATACATGTTTCTCGAAGATTGTTCAAGTCCTATACTCCTTGAAAGAAGAAAGAGCGGACCCATTTTCCGAAGATTGTTTAAGTCTTATACTCCCTTAAAGAAGAAGGAGCGGACACGTTTTTAGAAGATTTTCGAGTCCTATACTCCTTGAAAGAAGAAGGAGTGGACCTGTTTTTCGAAGATTATTCGAGTCTTATACTCCTTGAAAGAAAAATGACACATTTTTCGAAGATTGTTCGAGTCCTATACTCCTCAAAAGAAGGAGTGAACTCGTTTTTCGAAGATTGTTCGATTCCTATACTCCCTGAAAGAAGAGGGAATGTACACGTTTGTCGAAGATTGTTCAAATCCTATATTCCCTGAAAGAAGAGGGAGCGGACCCATTTTCTAAAGATTATTCGAGTCCTATACTCCTTGAAATAATAATGAACACACTCGTCTTCCGAAGATTTTTCAAGTCTCACCTATCCTGAAGTTACAGTGGAGTAGATTAACCCTTCGATTTCCTCATAACCGAAAAAATATGACAATCCTTTGATATTTGCTCTAATCTCATTGCACGACAATAAGCAAAGAGGGGCAGCTGTAGATGCTCATTTTGTCCGAAATTTCATTCGAGTTTTGTTGATATATTACATATTAATAATTACTTAGGCCCATTACATCCTTCAACTCATTTACAAGCCTCGCGACCAGTCACATGTCGATGGTGTTTCTATATCGATCGATGAGCTTCATTTAAAAAGAATATGAGCTTTATGGAAAGAATAATAATCTTTTGAAAAGAATATTATTATTTCCTAAACTATAGTAGATCCAAATCAATCTAAGAAGAAAAATAATCTCTCTTTTATGAGGAGAGATTTTCAAATCTCTTAATAAGGGAAAGAAGATCCTCTTTGAATAGTCATTACTGCAAATTTTTCGGGGTGGATGAAAGAAAAAGTGGAGGGTGGAAGAGAAAGAAAAAGGAGTGAGAAGAGGAATCAATATCAATGTATATTCGAAACAATTTTTTTAATGAGATTTCTTTTTTTCAGAAATTTCTCCCACTATTATTTTCCTTTATTTTTATATTCTCATTGTTCAAATAACCTAAAAAAGAGAGAAAGAAATAGGTGAGAAAGCAAGATAAACGAACAAAGGAAGAAAAAAAATTCTGATCGAACCCCAATCATCAACGTTTGGGCTCTCTATCGACAAATTCGAACGGTGAAGAGGAAGAACAGACAGCCAGGAGCAACATACTTAAATCTCAAAACTATCCAACGGTGGACGGTGACAGATCGGAGCAAAGAAAAACGAATTGTTTTTGGCTCTTTCGTGGAAATCTGAGCATCCTCTGAAGAAATGGCCACCGGATTTGAACTCAGGGTATCGATACGAGTCACCACGTAAAACTTGATAGCGAACCATTACTGTTGGTGACGACGATCAGTCGATGAAGACAACTGACGATATATGATCGATTGTGTAAAGAGAGAATGCAAAGCGCGCGCAATGAAAATGTCAAACTTTTGGTTTTTAACGTGTTATTAAACTTTAGGGTAAACACTCTCCTTAGTCCTCCAAGTATTATGGGTAAATTATTCTTACGACCCCCTCTTTTAACGCATTAATCAATTTAGTCCATTGTTAGGATTGCTTTCTTTAATTAGTTGTTTTTGTTTATTTTGAGAGTTGATAAATTCATGTATGTACAAGTATGAGAATGATTTATTTATGATATGCATGTCATTATGTTTTGCAATTTGTATGTTATCCTTATGTGCATAACTCGACATAATTAAATAATTGGATTAAGGGTAATACCTTTTAATTTAAAATTGTTTTGAGTGGCTTGTCTTAACTCATTAGAGAGCTGCTTTCGACGATTTTGAATTAAAAGTGTATCCCAAAAGTGACACCTAAAAAAATTGATTCGTCATTTAAAATTTCGGAACCAAAAGAAAAAGAAATGTTTGGTTATTTAAATTTTTCGAGAAAAGATTGTTAGAACTTATCTAAGATCTGCTCTCGATATTTTTAAATGATCGAACATTCTTATCTTTCTAAAAAGGCTTGGTAATTTTAATTTAATCAATATTGGTGCATTTGAGTATTACAATGGAATTGTAATATTTCTTTATTTCGATTGGAGTAAGAATTGATTGCCTCAAGGTACAAGGGGTTTGTTTCTTCTCGATATGAAATAATTAAATATTATTAGTTTCATTTTAAAATTCATAAATTGTTGTTTTATGGGATCATGAACTAAATTTAATTCAAATTTGTAAGTTTCATTGCAAAAACATTAATTAATCGACTAGGTAACGATTTAGGGCGATGTGGAGGTGTTAATCCTTCCCTACGCGTAACTAACTCTCAAACTCGATTTTTGGTAACGCATACCTCAACTTGTCATTTTAATTAAAATTAATTTTTATTTAAAATGACAAAATGTTTTTGGGTGCCCAATCACACCCTAATCAAAGATTGGTGGCGACTCCTCGAACCATACGCTTTTTATTTAAAAGGAATCCCAAATTTTTCGAAACGATAGATTTTTTAAATCGTGTTCACTTTTAATTAAAATTTAACCATAAAGAGATAATTAAAAATTGGTGTGGTTTTTAAAATCTCAATTTTAAGAAAAAAACGTTTCGACACTATTGATTTGCACCCCTCGAAGACTCATTGAGTCCTGAGCTTGTTGGAATAAGGCTGAATGACCCTCACTACAAATGAGGGACAAATAAGGGTTAAAAGGGTTGTCTTGACGCAAACCACACTGTGGAACAAAAGGCTCACCTGCGATGCCATTGACGATCACCGAAAAAGAAGCAGAACAAATGCAACGACGTAGATAAGTAATCCAGGTCACTGAAAAGTTCATACGCTCTATCACCTCCTAAGTGCTATTCCACATGATCGTAAGTTTTACTCATATCCAATTTAAACGCAAAGAAACCCGACACTCATCTAGACAATTTATAAAAGAGTGCAACAATTCATAATCCTTCACGATATTATCAGAAAAGTGTGCACTTGAGGTTAATTTTCTATCGAAATTTAATTAATTCACATAATTATTAAAAGTGGGAACAGAAAAAAGGGTAGATAACCCACTTAATTGATAACCATCCATTCCCACCTAGTAGTACTTGATTGACCAAGTAGTTTTCTAAATCTTTTGCCTTTTATTTCCTTTTTCACCTTCTTTAGTTAATAAAGTATTTATTAAGAATTATGAATTTAATCCTCATATATACCTTTCTTTACACAAGATTCCTCTAAAATGAAATTCAAACCCCTACAACTTCCATCAACCTGCTCAACTCGTATGAGAATTGCACAGAAGTAACTACTTATGCACACAAATATATATATATATATATAATGCAATACTATATGTATTTAAGGAAGAAGAAGGTTACATATTACAATGACAATCTGAGCTCCAAATCTAGCTCTCGTGCATCACCTGACTCAGAATTCCGACTGCTGGGTTCCACTGAGTTACTTCTCTGCTTGATCTTTGTTGGTTTTGAATCCTGTACGTATAGGAAAATATTTGTATAAGAATCTGTGTATCATATCAATATTTATATAAGAATATTGTTTATGGCAACATACTATTAGATTTAGAAGTTGTCGGGTCTTGTTCGGTTGTGCAAAATATTGACCGTCTAATATGCCATTTCTGGTGTTCCAACTGTTACAAATGATTGGAAACATATTAAGCAATATATATAAATATATATACATGTATATACCATAAAATGTATATATGCACCTTGTTGTAGTAGTAGGTAAGGAATCAGCATATATGATAGTACTTTGATAATATTCGCAGTGCCCCATCTGCAATACGAGGTAAGTGAAGATTTTGTTTCTTTTGGGAAAATTACTATCTAGGGCTATTTCTAATGATGATGATGGTGATGGAGATGATGAAAGAATATATATATATATATATATTGAGCCATGATTGATGCTCTAAAGCAGTACATTATACATACATCATCATATATTAGTAAAGTAAATACAGCAGTTGAAAATGGATGATCACCAACAGAAAATCATGTACAAAGAAAGTAAGAAACATACCATCTTGCTGGGGAGGAAACCATAAGAAGCCAAGGAAGTTGATGAATATGAAAAAGATGAACAAGCATTCTGCACTCTCATGTCTTCCTGCATTTTACACAAATATCATCCAATAAATATGAAGGGCTAGGGAAGACATAAAAATGGTAGAAGTTCAGAGTGAAAAGTGAAAATACGTGGTTGAAATATCCAGGGTAAGTTATACAAGGAGACGCCATATTTCCGTGTAAAATCCTCTCCAATTGATCAACACCAAGCCCTCTCCGGGGCGGCCTAGGCTTCTCTGAATTACTCTTCTTCTTGCCTTTACTTGAAGACAACGACCCACCTCTGTCATTTCTCATCGTTGGTTCTCCAAAAACAACTGCTATGTGCAAAATAAAATAAAATAAAATCTCAAGCTTTCTCTTTCAGCAAAGCTTCCTATAATCTAGGAGACAGCTGCTGAAGATTCAAAGAGATCTCCACCTCCCCTTTTAAAGCTGCTAGATCAGATTTTGTACATTACGTATATATAGAGAGAGAATTTTCTGCTTTTGTTTATTATGATTGAGTTGAGTAATAGATTTCTCTTACCTATTCATATCTCAGAATGTAAACTGTATTGGGAGCTTTTCACTTTAACATAACCTAACTTTGGTTCCCTTAATACGAAAACTACTGATTAATTAATTAACAAATTATATAGAAGGATCCCGCTAAATAAATTTAACCATTGATCAAAATCACCATTACACGTGAACCAGCAGTTCAGCTTGGTTTTGGATTATGTTACTGTCTTATGTTAGGAATTTGATTCCTATTTAATTTGGTCAAACTTGAGTTTTTGAAGAGTTAATTTTAGAGTATCTTTTAAATTATGTATTATTAAAGCTTATATTAATAATACCTATATTAAACTATTAAATAAATTTTAATTTTTCAATTAATAAAATATAATGTATGGTTAATAATATCGTAATATTTACAAATAAAAATAATTATTAATAAATGAAAATAATTTAAACTTGTTTTTTTAATAATTAAGTAAATTAAATAAATTGATAACCACCAGCTAGTTCAAAATTTATACGGGTCTTTGGGTGGCGCTTAGCCAGCTAATTCAATATTTTCTTGATAACAATTACTTGAGGAAGAAGTAGCCGAAATAAACATCTATATATATGACCTAATCCTGTCTTATTATAACAATTAATTATATTTAGCGGTGAAGTAGGGCTCATCACTACAAAGTCAGAAACATTATTGTTCGTCCATCGCATTAACAGAAGCTAGAAAACCAGTATCGTTCGTGGTAGTTCGCTAAACAGAACAAGAACAAGTATGGAGATGCTTCGCAAGAAACCAGTGATTGTGAGACGAGTCTTCGCTGATGGACTAGAGCATGAGTTCGCGTTGATTAGGAGTGCGATTCTTATGTATCCTTTCGTCTCGGTGGATACCGAATACCCCGGTACTATCTTTAAACCCTGTAAACAAATCATCCAACAAAATAACCCGGCTATCAACTACGAGTATATGAAATCCAATGTTGATGCGCTAGAGTTAATCCAACTCGGGTTAACCCTTTCAAACTCCGAGGGTAATTTACCGGATTTTGGTACTGCATGTTGCTATGTTTGGGAGTTTAATTTCAAAGACTTTGATGTTGATGAGGATGACTGTGATAAGGAATCGATTGAATTACTGAAGCGGCAAGGTATTGACTTTGTGAAGAATAGAGAGAAGGGCATTGCATCTAGTGATTTTGCGATGTTGATGTGGAATTCGGGGTTGTTCTCTAATTGTTTTGGAGGTTTAACATGGCTTACCTTCCATGGTGCTTACGATTTTGGATTCTTGATGAAAATCCTAACTCAACGACCACTACCGGTTGATATTCATTGTTTTATGAGACAATTGGTTTTTATTTTTGGTGGTAAAATTTTTGACATCAAACACACGTTTAAGTTCTTCGGCTTGTTTGGTGGTTTGGAGAAGGTGGCGGGAATGTTAAATGTCACTCGTCTAACTGGATCGACCCATCAAGCAGGATCCGACAGTCTGCTTACACTTCAGTGTTTCATGGAGATGAAGAAATCAAGAGTTTTTGAATTCAACCAAAGTCCTAACATGCTACCTGCACTTGCACTGTATGGCCTGATTTCAATTTTGGAATGAGAATTCTTTTAGTTTTCATTGTAATTTTCTTTTGTCTATGAGACTTTATAAATATTTGCTAGCAATTTCAGTTTACTTTTACTTATAATATTAAGATTGCATTGATGTGGATGAAATTTAAATGGAAAATTTTATTTATTTTTATTCAATTTTTGAAATTGAAGAAAATTTAAATGATATTTTCGGTATTAAATTCAAAATATTTGATGTAATAAATATAAATTTTTAATTTAATATGTTCACGTAGCCAAGCTGCAACAACATACGATTTCCATCCAAGTAACAACGCCCTGGGCAAATACCTAAAGAGCAACCCTAACCCAATCACCAGCAATTCATTAGAAGTAGAAGAAAAAGCGTATAGATTCCGATAGAAAATACAACTTCACATGTACCAATTTATCAGCTATTGTATGCATGATAAACACTGCATATTCATTTAGTCAATATATCAAGCAAGAGATCGATATCTATTTAGCAGCCAATATAGTTCCGGCAGCAACCGCATTAATGAGCAGATATGAAAAAATATGCACATGTATTTTCTTATTTCACACGTAATAAATTTACAAACAACAATATTTATAATAGAAAAAATTTAACTGATTCTAAATTAACTATTAATAAACTGCTAATTAACTCAACTACTTTTAACACTTGGATGGTTGAAAAATATTTTTATACCCCAACTTGAACAAGAGATAGTTATGGTGCATGGGTTCTAGAGCCTTCGTCATAATGTCATCCAGTCAATCTGTAGATGGAATGTGCTACGTATGAATCAATTTCTGAAGTGACGATCAATTTCAAAATATTTGCTTCTCTCATGAAAAACAAAATTTGCAGTGTTGCTCTACTATTATCATTATAAAGCTTTTTTGACTGTTGCTTTTCCACCCCAAGTTTTGCGAGAAATCCTGAAAATGAAACAAAATACATAAAAACTGAAAAAGGATTAAAGTAAAATTAATATAAAATCCAGTAACCAAATTAAAATGAACAAAATGTAACCCCCTAGACCCGGCCTATGCGTTTCGACTAAGTCTAGTGGATCACATTATGATTCTTAAAGACATTTTCTGAAACCGTTATTCAATCAATGTAAAATCACATTATAAAGGTCATGAAATAAATTATACCATCAAAACCCAACTTGTAAATATAATACCAATAAGTAATAAATTAATTTAAAACAGGTCTTCAAAATCAAAATCACAATAAACCGAACAGTAATAGCAAAAGTGTCATCATCCTAAAATACGATACTTTAAAATAAGATCCATGTCACCAAAGTAAAGTCAACTAGCAAGATAAAACATTACAATCAGATATACTTCAAGAGATATGTTGATCCTCCAAGTGCTCGAACCGATGTATCTAACCAACAGTATCTGAAAGGGGGAAAAACATTTTCGAAATGTGAACTAGGCTCAGTGTGTCCCAATATTACCTTAAAATCACAATAGGTACATTAAACAAATCATAGTCCATTAAATCTCATAAATTCATAAAAGAGTTTAACTTTTGAAAATCGTAGTTTAAACTCTTTTCTTGTACACCATCAGTAATTTCCAAAACTATTTTCCATATAGCTTACTCTAAGCACACAACAAAAAGAAAGCCAACCTAAGGATAAGCTTTAGAGCTTGTATCCTTAAGCCTGTAAGTCCAAGTCCATATAGCTTGCCCTAAGCACACAGCAAGGGAAGCCAACCTAATGTATCTTGGGGACCCAAGAGTCACATTAGGCCCATTCTGTTTATTAGCTTGATCAGAGCTATACTATTGTAATTCAATCCAAAAGTTCAATTGCACCGTGACACAAATTCCATAAATCATCACATTAAATTGGTGCATCAATAAAACAGTAACCAAAGAACTCAGTGTACCTCATATTAAAACCAATAAAATAGTTCAGTAATAATTAGGGAACATACCTCGATAATAGGTTCAAATAGTATATTTACTGATGGCTGGTTTCACCACGCTCTGCTACAGTTTTCGAACCTATTTTATAATAACACTATATTACTTATGGGTAACATAAATAAATCTCTAAAATCATAAAATTTACGGGTCTTACGGGTGAATACTGGCACACGTGGTTTAATTGATCTAGAAGAGCTGGGTCGAGCTGTCGAACGATCCGGAGAGTCTCTTGTACCTTCAAACAATAATAATTTATCAGCCCCAAATCTTACTTAATTGTTCAAAGCTAAATTCTTAAGTATATAAGCATTTTCAGGGTTTGACTATCAATTTGGAGGATTTCAGGTTTGAATTTGGCCAAACGGATTGCGGAATCGGAATCAGGATGTCTTTTCGAAAATTTAAATTCTTGGTCAAAGTCAAAGTCAACCACTTTGACCATCGATTTGGAGGCATTTGGGTTCGAATTTGACAAAACGGACTTCGGAAATGGATTCGGGACGTCGAAAACTATCAGAATAGGTATACTCAAAAAAGATTAACGGTCGTTTAATGGTCGGTCAAAGCCATTTTAAGTTTTGGTCAAAGGAGGTCAACGATCATGGTCAACGGTCAACGGTCGGGTCAACGAACGGGTCGGGTCAGGTTGGTCGGTTCAGACCGGTCAAAACCGGTTCAAAACCGGTTAAACCGATTTTCTAGCTTCCACTCTCCCTGCAGCGGCGCGTGTGGCGCGTGAGACCTCCTTTGGGGCTCTAAAAATCCCGAAAAAATTTCTAAAAATTATTTTGAGCGATTTCGAGATACTTACAAAGATCGGTTCAAATTTTTGAACGGCGGAGAGCTCGATTTCAACTCGGTCGAATCTTTGACTGCTCCACATCCTCACGCACCGCCATCGACTGAGACCGAGGTTGACACCGACGGACTCGAAACGGCACAAGGAGTGCAGGAGGTGTCGTAAACGGAGCAACGATCAGCGGTGAATTTGATATTTTCCTGGCGATAGAGCTAAAAAAACGTCGGTGCTTTGACTTGAAATTCCCGACGTTTGACAGCGTTTCGCTTCAATTAATTTAAGGGGATTGTTCCTGAATCGATAACGAACACGATGGTTATTTCAAAATGACGATCAGAATTCGGACGGCGTCGGGATCTAAGTCGGAAACCGGCGTAGGGGGAAGGAAATTTGGGAGCAATTGAGGTGTGGTTTTCTGCTTTGAAACAGAAAACCACGTTTATAACATAACATACCTAACTTTCTTGGGTAAATTCAGGCTTGGTCCCTGAATTTTCTTTAACTCTAAAACAAGCTCCAAGTTTTAAAATCTTTCAATTTAGTCCCCACAATTTACCGATTTTCACAATTAAAACTTCCAATTTCAATTAAATATTATTTTGAAAATATCCGGGTTGTTACAATTCTCCCCCTCTACAAGAAATTTCGTCCTCGAAATTTACCTTATGAGAATAGTTGAGGAAACTAAGCCTCCATTGACTCCAATGTCTCCCAAGTAGCTTCTGAGGGGCCTCGATTACTCCATTGAACTTTGACCATTGGAATACGCCTATTCCGAAGAACTCGCTCATCTCTTTCTAAGATCTGGATGGGCTTCTACTCATATGGCAAATCAGGTCTCAGCTCTACCTCATCAACTTGAATGATGTGATCTGGATCTGGACGGTATCGCCTTAACATAGACACATGAAAAACATCATGAATACGACTAAGATGTGAAGGCAACTCAAGCTTATAAGCAACATGTCCAACTTTCTTCAGAATACGATACGGCCCAATAAATCGCGGACTCAGTTTACCCTTACGTCCAAATCTCAATACTTTCTTCCATGGAGATACCTTGAGAAAAACCTAATCTTCAACGTCAAACTGTATATCCTTCCTCCTTTGATCTGCATAAGATTTCTGCCTATCAAATGCCTCTTTCAGACTGTCACGGATCAATCTGACTGTGTCTTCCGTCTCCTGCACTAACTCAGGTCCCAAAGTCTTCCTATCACGCAACTCAGTCCAACAAATCGGGGTGCGACACCTACGCCCATAGAGTTCTTCATAGGGTGACATACGAATGCTGGTCTGGTAACTGTTATTATAAACGAATTCAGCCAAAGGCAAAAAGTTCTCCCAGCTACAACGAAAATCAATTACACAACCCCGTAATATATCCTCCAGAATCTGAATTACTCTCTCAGATTGACCATCAGTTTGTGGATGAAAGGATGTACTATATTCCAATCTTGTTCCCAAATCCGTATGTAGCGCCTTCTAAAATCTCGAAGTAAATCTCGGATATCGATCAGAAATAATAGACACTGGAACACCATGTAATCGGACAATCTCTGAAATATACAATCTCGCCAGCTTGTCCAAAGTATAATTTACCCGCACAGGAATGAAGTGAGCTGACTTTGTAAGTCTGTCAAAAATCACCCAAACTGAATCTTTTTTCGAAGGAGTCATAGGTAAACCAGTAACAAAATCCATAGTAATACACTCCCATTTCCATTCCGGAATCTTGATAGGTTGTAACAAACCTGATGGATGTTGATGTTCTGCCATAATTTGCTGACAAGTCAAACACCTAGCCACAAAATTCGAGATGTCATTCTTCATGCCGACCTAATGATACCTCTCTCTCAAATTCTGATACATCTTATCTCCACCGGGGTGCATAGCATATGGACTACTATGAGCCTCAATAAGGATAGTCTGCCTCAACTCAGCATCATCCGGCACACAATACCGACCTTTAAAGCATAAAACTTCATCCCGATCAATTACGTAATCTGAATTTGTCCCCTGCTCTACTTGTTCAAAGATGGGAAACAAGGATCTATCAAGGGGCTGCTTAGCCTTGATCTCATCAACCAAGGTCATCTTAACTTGCAATTCTGCTAACAGAGTGACATCGTCATATAAATTCATCCTGGCCATTAAAGATCTCAACTCTGTTACCGCCTTTCGATTCAAAGCATCCACTACAATGTTAGCTTTACCAGGGTGATAATCAATCACGCAATCATAATCCTTTAAAAGCTCTAACCAGCATCGC